TCAACTCAGTGCTCCCTTCAGTAGACAAAAGATAGCCATACTGCTTTTCCTTTTAATATATTTATTGCTTTCGGCCCACTTTTTTTGGCAGTGTTCCAATTGGCATGAGCTTTCCTCCCAGATACATGGTTAGTGTTTTCTTGGGAAAAGAGCTAAGCATTAAGAAATTAAATTAAATACACTAGCATAAGAAAGCAGTACTTTGTTGCCTGTGCAGTTCTTATATTGCTTGTATTTCCTCTTTTTGTTACTAGTTTTGCTCAGGATTAGTGTTGAGTGAAAGTAGTTTGGAAATTTCTATCTCCAGTCAAAACCAAATGGGAAACAAAGGCAAGTATTTCGTTCATACTGTGGCAGAACTTTGACTATGGAGCAGCATAATACTTGGGGCCGGTATGGGGCACCTGGGTGGCAGTCGGTTAAGCATCTTACTCTTGATTTCGACTCGGGGCATGATCTCAGGGTGGTGAGTCTGAGCCCTGTGTTGGGCTCCGTGCTCAGTGGGGAGTCTGCCTGAGATTGTCTCTCTCTGTCTCTCCCCCCAACATGTGCTTACCTGGTCTCTCTCAAATAAATAAATAAATCTTTAATATTTGGGGTCTGTATGATAATGAAAGTGGTAATTTGGAGACAACTCTGGGAAGGATGAAAGTCCTTGGGAGATAATTCAGGTGGCTTGATCTATTGCTCTCCATCACAGAAAATTGTCTTTCTAATGCTAAATTCTTTTGCTTTGTAACAAAAAGATGGCAATTCAGGGCGCCTGGGTGGCTCAGTCGTTAAGCATCTGCCTTCGGCTCAGGTCATGATCTCAGGGTCCTGGGATTGAGCCCCGCATCGGGCTCCCTGCTGGGCGGGAAGCCTGTTTCTCCCTTACCCACTCCCTCTGCTTGTGTTCCTTCTCTCACTGTGTCTCTCTCTGTCAAATAAATAAAATCTTTAAAAAAAAAAAAAAGATGGCAATTCAGTGTTTCATTGTACTACTTAAAATATGGGCAGTTTTAGATTACTAAGGTGAACCTTGATGCTATTTTATTATTTGTGGGAGAAAATCCTTAGAGAACTTGATTAAAATCAGCCATATGATAACTAGGTTAAAAAAATAAGAGCTAACTTAACATGGGTGAGATATTATGTTAAGCACTAGACCTGATTAATCTCACTTCACCTTATAGGCAATCCTACAAAGTACTATTGTTATTGCTATTTTACAGATGCAGAAACTAAGGATTAGAGTTCTTAAATAACTTGCCCAAAGTCATAGTGTCAGGAGGTAACATAGTCCAGATTCACTCTCAGGCCAGGTTTCAAAACCCACTTTCAAGTATGTGTATAGACTGGATGCTACCTACTCCTAATTGTTCCAAAAGAGAACTGAAAGACATAGGTACCTTATACATGAAGAATAATGGTTTGTTGACATGCTTACATTAACTGCCTCTACTACTCTGCTTGTCAAATTGCATACTGAAAAAGTATCCTAAAATAATTATATGTAAAAATATGAAATGGAAACAATCCAAACCCACAGACCACATTTTCTATTCTGTGGTTATGCTCAGATAGAAAGGGATATTATAACTTATAAAGAAAGCAGAGAGTTTTTTGTAAAACATTCTCCAAGAGTATAAAACAATTGTTTTAGTATTTTGAGTAAAATAAGCACATTTTAAAACTTAGAGTAGGTGAAACTGGTTTCAGGTTAACATTTGAAAAAATACCTGGATATTTTTAGGGTTAACAAACCAATGTGTTTACCAAGTACGTATTTTGGTTTCCATTTACCAATTGATTTTATTCATACTGATGAACTTACATGTGTTAATGAATATGTTTAGAGAAAACAATATGCTTCACTAGAAAAATTTAAGCATCTTTACCACTAGACATTGATAGAAAACATATGTCAGACAGCATCTGTCTGCATTTAAGTTGCACAGAATCTGGAGGAAGAAATGGAAGAAACTCCCCCCATAGGCTAATATTATAGATAGTTGGACATATTTACATAACACAAAGTGAATTTATTTTGCAATGGTTCAGTTCAACAGAACAATATGAACAGCTAAACTGGATATCAGGGTTTCCAAAGCAGAAGTCTTTGGTTTGAATTATATAGGGTGGATTATCTATGTTGACCATATTTTGTAAAACACTCAAAATAAGCTTTATGTCTCTGTTTTGAAATGATTTCATGTATCCTCCTAAGTATTTGTTTGGTTTTTATATTAAACATTTTATTTGTAATAGGATTTCATTTTATTATTTCAAAATTTTGCCCATAATATGGCATTATTTTGGTTCTCAAAGGGGAAAATGCAATATATCCATTTATCACAGAGTAAGAGAGTAAGAAGCAATTTCTTTTTTGCTGGTGGACTCACAATAACTACATCTTTTTAGGTCATTTTTAGGTCCTTAACTTTCAAACCAGATTGAGGTGTGAGCAGTCATCAGAAAAAGTGGGAATTCTGAGAGGAACAGAAATATACACTATCATAGAGGAGAAAGGGAAGTTTAAGTGCACACAAAGAAAATTAAAATTGTTTTCAACTAACTACAGTTAGCATTTCATTTTACTTATTTTTAATCTTTGCACATGTGAGTATTACAAACACCAATAGTCATAATATAAGTGCTACTCATTTTGCATTCCTTAGCTCATCTTTAGGCTCTTCTATCATGAATTGCTATTTTTAAAAGCCTTATTTAGTGTTTGTTTTCCTTCATTCCAATTTACTCTTTACAAACATTTCTTATTTGCTGTTTAAGCAAACTCTCCCAGTGTTTTGGTCATAATTTTAAAACTATGAAATTTTGTTGTTTATATATTATGTCTTAACCAATGAACCTAAATATAAGTGTGTTCAGCAGAAAAGGGCAAAATATCCCAGCTAAGGAAAACATTTTTTTATTTTTCCCATGGTGGTAGCTGAGTTATTCAAATACTGTTATGAAAAAAGTACATATTTGCATGGGTAGGCAGTTTTCCCCTAGACAATAGTTGGCACTCCACAGACACAGAGTAAGCTCAAGGAAGGCATTTAAAACTAAGACCATGTAGACAAATTTTATATGTTCATAATGTGAAGAGTGACCAATTATAAAAAAACAAACCATTCATGATACAAATGATCTGAAAAGAATATTCTTTACTAAACCTCTTCTCACATTCATTAATTTTGTTTGATCCCTGCCTGCCTCTCACACCTCTCATACACTGCAAAGTCAAATCAAAGACTCTCTAATACGAAAATACGAGCAGCTCTCAGAGCTGTTTCTATTTTGAAGGACTCCGGCTGCACTTCACATACTTGTCGTATATGACTGTCTTATGCTCAGTTGATTGCCCCAGAGCCGTCTCAGTCATGAAGTCTTTCATCGTTTCCCTCATAGCACCCACTTCTGCGGAAGGCATGTATTGAAAAATCAGTAAATACTGGTTTGGACGGAATTCACTTCTAGACCCTTTAAAATACTAAAGCTATATATAAAATCACAGATCTATAGCTGGAAGAAATTTCAGAGACAATATAGCTTAAACTTTGCATTTTTAAATATAGAAAACCTTGGCATCCCAGCCTAACTATAATATCCTGGGCACATGGTTTATTTAGGATAAGGTGATACAGTGATAAAATTAAGTTAAAATCGGGCGCCTGGGTGGCTCAGTCGTTAAGCGTCTGCCTTCGGCTCAGGTCATGATCCCAGGGTCCTGGGATCGAGTCCCGCATCGGGCTCCCTGCTCCGCGGGAAGCCTGCTTTTCCCTCTCCCACTCCCCCTGCTTGTTCCTGCTCTCACTATGTCTCTCTCTGTCAAATAAATAAATAAAATCTTAAAAAAAAAAATTAAGTTAAAATCTCCTTGAAGTTCCCAAAGTAGAAGTCATTAGTTTGTGTTAAATAGGGTGGGTTATCTAGGTTAACCATATTAATTGCATAATTTTGTAAAAATACAAAATGAACTTTTAAGTCTCTGTAATGAAATCATTCCTGTCTCCCTACATACGTGTTTTGTTTTGATATTAAGTATTCAGTTTGAAATGGATTCCTTTCTATTAGTTTAAAACTTTGCCTGTAAGTGTTCAAATAAACGCTACATGAAAGAGGTAGAACTTGAGTTGGTCTTTGAGCATAGAGTCATATGCAGACAATCTGGTAGAGTAGATGTGGATTCAATCCGAGGAATGGCGTTACTTGTCATTAATAATGACTTTTCCTAAAATTTATTTCTATATGAATATATATTATATTATATATAATATATATATTTATATAAAATATATATAATTATTTCTATATGAGCCAGTTCTTTAATTTTGTTTTATATAGGAGGACCTCCAGTCACAAGTGGTAATATTTTTATACCTTACATATGGCTGGGCCAGTTAGAAAGAAAATTCAGTAAAGCTGAACAAACAAACATCATTGGTTTCTAAGTCTATATTTTTATAAATTTATCTATTCTGAATACAATGTTATCTTTCTCATGGTTGGTGTGCATAATCACTACCACCACACAGAGGCTCTATAAATAGAACAACCATAAACAATCATAAACAGGCTATATAAACAGAACAACCTTTGTGGTATAATGAAAAGAACATTATCTGTGTAAGATTCTGACAGACAAATCTAAAGTTTTCAAAATTAATTAGCTGTAGGATTTTTTGATCAATTAACTTCACTGAATCTCAGTTTCTACATTTTCAAAATAAATTAAAACATTACTCATGCTGAGACATTCACAGAAGAAATTTATTTAGAAGCTTTGTATGGGCAAATTTCTATTCCTACGAATGTCTACCTGTCCTGAAGCAACTCATTTGCTCTCTTTTAAGGAATTATAGGTTTTCCCTAATTAAGATTTTATCATGAGTCAATCTTGGGGAGAAAAAAATAATTCTTCCAGATTTGAAGCAGCTATTATGAATTGTGAATGTATCTTATTTGAATGATTATTAATAAAAATAAAATATTTGGTTTCTCTTGCCTTTTAGGAGCCTAAGTTGCCAAAGGATTACCTTGCACAAAAATCTATTTTTCTCTTTTGTTTGTAACTCTATTGTAACAATCATTCATCTCACTGCAGTGGCCAACAACCAGGCTTTAGTGGCCACAAATCCTGTAAGTAAAATGAGGTTGTGCCCTAGGTTCAAGAGGTTAGAGGGAAAGAAATGTGAGTGAAAGGTGGTGGTGGGAGGTAGGGGGTGGGGGGTCCTGATATATGTAAATGTGTATAAATACTCATATATATATTTTAAGGTCTGGCATCTAGAGAGTATATGTATCTATATTCCAATCTATAAAGGTAAATACATCTCAATCTTTCCCAAGTTATAAAGGAGGAATACATGTCTTTGCTTCAATTATTTATATATGTTATACATATCTTCACCTCATTTTATGGCTAGAGTCCTCCTGCTGGTGACTTAAGGGTTTATGACCATGTAACATTTACTCAATCGAATTTAAAAAATCAATCAAAGCAACTAACTACAGATGTAGTTAGAAACACAAGGCATGAAAACAGAAAAATTTTAATTAAATTATATATTTGGGATCAGGTGACTTTAAATAGTTAATTAAACTGGGGAAAATGAATTGTACATCCCCTATGTAATGTTAAAGTTTCTTAACATGAGACTTTTTTTTTTAAAGGACTCTACCAGGTCCTCAGTATCTCAGCAAATATTTATAAGTTGTTTCCTTATAATCCCTTTGGAAGCACAATTTGTTTTTCTTTTAAGTTTTTTTTTTACTGAAGTGTAGGTGACACAAAATGTTACATTAGTTTCAGGTGTACAACATAGTGATTCGACAACTCTATATGCTATGCTTACCACGAGTGTAGCTACTATCCATCACCATACATCTCTATTATAATACCATTGACTATATTTTCTTATGCTGTACCTTTCATTCCCATGACTTATTCATTCCATAACTGGAAGTCTGTATCTCCCACTCCCCTTTACCCAATTTGCCCATCTCTCGCTCCTCTACCCTCCATCCCTGGTAACCACACATAGTTTGTTCTCTGTATTTTGGGGACTGTTTCTGGAAGCACAATTTTTAGGATGAGTATCAAAAGCTACATAAAAATAAGCGCAGAGACTGTCATAATATAAAAGCCATATTTTAAAACACAAACTAAAATTTACTAATATAAGTGTATATATTTTATGCAAATTATATGCATATGTGAGCTATACTTAAAGTATCTGCATAAATAAAAGCATATTTTCAAGTATTTAAAATTATCTGCTTTCATAATGTTTATAGTATCCATACTACAGTTTTGGATATGGATTTGTGGAGGGGTATATATATATATGGTGTACATAAAGTGGTTTTTTAAAGATTAAGTTATCTAGTAGTAACTAGATAGATTAGTAACTAGATTTCAGTAGAAATCACGGAAGGGAAGGAATTTTCACTCAGTGGGCCAATAAACAATACTCTCCTATGTGTTTTATGTGTGTTTTAGGGTAATTTCCAAAATCCTAAAATTCCCTGCATTGTTTGCACATGTGTATCCGGATTGCTTAATCTTGTGTATGTTCCACTGTAATGTCACTAGGTGAGGAAACACACTGGGATAGATTTAGCAACATAAAAAAACTGGCCAATGGCCTACCACTTTAGAGTGACTTTCTCTAGAGCAAAGAGATGAGAAGTTTCATCATGAAGCTACAGAGCAAGAGATTCTAAAGCTTACATTTAGATATAAGGATATTGTGTTTAACGTACAAATTGCAGGCTGTAATATATTTTTAATATATTCTTGGAAAATTTATTGTTTGTTTATATCAGCAATGCCCTTCATAAAAATGCTTTCCTGAAGCATGTTTTAAGTTCTTTTTATCATAGTGGCTTATAGATGAATTTTTTAAGTGAAATCAGGAGTAAGAAGTCCAATTGGATATGCATGTCTAAAAACTATACCAGATAAAAATTTGAAGCTGAAGTCTGTTATTTCTATATAAATATAGTTAACTAACTCACTTTACCCTTGAGAAGACTTTGTTAATATAACGTGATGTTTGACATCAAGATACTTTATTTTAAAGTTTAATGTTATGCATTCTGCCAATGTATTTAATGGAAGAATAGGTTTTATAAATGTCCTACGGGCAGAAGGCATTGTGTATAATCATGAAAACAAAATTGGAATTACAAGACTTGTGTTCAGTGTATAGCTTAGATTGATGTTGTATGAATATTAGCAAATCACTTAACTTCTCCAGTACTCAGTTTTCTATCTGTAAAATAAGTGACTAGTGATAAATTATGTCACACAGAATTAAAGATTAAATAAAATAACATATTGAAAATATTTTAAGCTAACTAATATGCACATGTCATGATTACTATTCTATGAGAACCCCAATATCTATTTTCTAGTGTATCTCCCTTCCAATTTTCTTTTTAGTGAAAAAAAAATTTATTTCAAAAATAATGATAATTGCCACTAAGTATTTATTGACCAGACTAGAAATTGGGAGCTGTGGAGAGTAAATGGCCATATATTTCTGGGAGAGTTTTAAATTTATTCTCCTTTCTAAGGGAGCAAAATATATATCTTACTCCTTCATGTTTACTTTACCCTGTATTTGAACCTTCCTCTTCTGATCTCTTTAAGAATAGAGAAGAGAAAGTGGGGATCTCAGAAAAAGAGGAAGGAAACCATAACTTTTTCTTCTTTTTACTTACATGAAATCCTCAACCCCATATAAAATATGGGCCCATTAGATTATTATTTACTAAGTAATTGCATTGGTAGCAGTAATATGCAAGACTTTCAATTTTGGCCACTTTTCATAAAAAAATGTATCTGGAAAAAACACATCCACTAACTGTAATAAATATGGAACTTACACATTTCCTGGAAGGTATACCATTATAAATCTTTAGAGTCAGTGCTTAAAAACTTTATAGGTACCATTAGATCAGGATGAAGACTGGCATTTTACAAATCTGAATCATCAGTATATAAGATTTTGTGTAGAGGAGAGAAAATTCCAGGTCTCTATATAACTAACCTAAACTAGACTATTGAATTCATAAACAACTAAATATTGATGACTTTCTTTTTTTTTCTCACAGGTTAGTTGTAAAGTGTCTCAGTTCATTCATCTTTACCTGATGGGCTGTAACTACTTTTGGATGCTTTGTGAAGGCATTTACCTACACACACTCATTGTGGTGGCTGTGTTTGCGGAAAAGCAACATTTGATATGGTATTATTTTCTTGGCTGGGGTAAGTGCCATTACACGTGTTTGCTGACTCACCTTTTAAGAAAGCTCTTAGAGGATGCAGAGCTCCTTTGTAATAAAAATATACTTATTATTAATCATTCTCAAACAACAGCAGGTGATCAACCTTTGCTTATTGCTGTAAATTGAAATATTTAAACAAGAACCACTGACTCATGGTTTTCAGTAGTCACAGGTCAATAATACAATGTGGTTGGGTTTTTTTCTATTTAATATTTCAGTGTGTATCTTGGCTAAGTATGCAGTGGCTAACACGACACAATTAGAATCACGAATTAGGGAACTAGTCTTCATATTGTTCGAATCTCCTTTTCCTTTGTGCAAAATGAGGGCATTGGGCTTAGCCAGCTTTGAAATTCCACTCAAAAAAAAGTTTGTTTTTAAAAAAATATCATTTTATCTTAAGAATAGAGGGGCCGGTAATTGAATAAAGGCACACAAAAGATCTATTTTTTCCACACAATCTCCTGACATGGTATTATTCACAGTGCAAATAATGATACACTTCTAGCATATTTCCTTTTCTTTTTTTCTGTTTTTTTCAGTTTTAATTTTAATTCCAGTTAGTTAACATACAGTATTATATTAGTTTCAGGCGTACAATATAGTAATTCAGCACTTCCGTACACCACCCTGTGCTCATCACAGCAACTGCACTCCTTAGTCCCCGTCACCTATTTCACCCATCCCCCATCCACCTCCCCCTCTAGTCATCATCAGTTTGTTCTCTGTAACTAAGAGTCTGTTTCTTGATTTGTGCCTCTAGTGTATTTTTAAAAACAACTAGAATAATTCAAAATATAAAATTCTGAAAATGAATTCAATTGGACTAGTTTCTAGAAACATAACTGAAATACTTATCTATCATATATCAATCTACCTATCTAGTCAGACAATAGATACAGATATATAAAGGTATGTATGCACACACACACACATACACACACACACTCTTTAGTATATTCAGTATATTTAGTATAGGTTACCTTTATAAAGCATGTCTTCATTTCATGTTGGAAAGATCTCATTTAGAATGCTAAAAACATGCAAAATATCTAATATATAAACCATCTCTCTCTTCCTCTCTTTTTCTTCACTTGATCAGTCTCAACTTCTTCCCACATCCTACTAAATAAATATTGGCTAATTCCATATCATAGAAAATATATATGAATTCTTCTAAGCCTTGGGGCTTAGGCAGCACATTTATGGACTTAGGCTCTGAAGTCCACTGATTCAAAATGACTTCCCACAGACACACAAACCTGGACATATAAATACCGAATATTTACCATATTTATTGCTTCACTATACAGAAAATATTTACTCATTAAACATATAGTGACCAGTTGTTTTTGCTCCCAGGGTACCTCTGAGTTTCATATTTTATGACCACATTTTTTGTTTGATATTTGCAGGATTTCCACTGATTCCTGCTTGTATACATGCTGTGGCGAGAAGCTTATATTACAATGACAAGTAAGATAATCTCTCTTTCTGATTTCTATTGGAACTACATAAATGAAAATATCCAACATAATTTTGCTGTTTTTTTCCCCAAGCTGCTGGATCAGTTCTGATACCCATCTCCTCTACATTATCCATGGTCCAATTTGTGCTGCTTTACTGGTACGTAATGAAAATTTTCCTTGTTTCATCATTGTTCATATTTCAACTTTATTTCCTGAATCATCCAGCCTATGGTATCTTTCAGGATCCTGGTGTACATAAATGACATGTTCACAGTGTTTAACTGAAGAGAGTTTAATAAAGGTGTTAATTTGAGGTATTTGCAGGAAGAGGAAAGGAGCTAATTCATAAGGAATGGCCAGGCACCAGGGACCTGCAGCGGGAAACTGTTAATGGCTTTAGACCTAAAGAGGGGACAGAACAGTGTTTCAGGATTTGGGCCGGTGCTGGGAGGCATGGCCCTGAGTAGAGGAACACACCCACTGCCCAAACCACAGCCTGGCAGGGAAGAAGAATGAGGAAGAAATACTCAAACTTCTCTCTTCCTATGCCCTGATTACTTGGTTCTTCCCTTTGGCCAAATGCAGCAAACGGCAGAGAGCAAGAAGCCTGGGCAAGGGTGCAGTCCTTCGAGGTGCCTCAGAGTTTCCTGGGACGCAGAGCAGAACAGAGAAGGGCAGAGGATAGATCTAGTGAGAGGGAATGGCAAATGGGGAAAACTACACACCTATGTTGGTAATAAGAGTAATATTCCAATAAAGAAAAGACTTTAATTTGGAAAAAGAGAGTATTGGTTAAACTGTTGTTTTACTGTCATAAGGATCATCACTTAACACAAATACAGCAATTGGACATTTTTAAGTGTGGTTACAGGGAAACAGAAGTAACATTCAGTGCTTTTATTACATTGTTTCAATGGGGAAATAAATTCATCCACATTAACAGGGTTGTTTTCATAGAGCATTAGACACCAGAATGCGATTAATGTCTGAGATTATAATTACAGGTGATATTCAATTACACAGAAAAAGATAAAGGGGGCTATGTTTCTCGGTCAAAATTCAGAGCTTCCTAATCCTTGTTTTCAAATTCTTTTTTTAGACAAGGATTCTTCTATTATTTTACTATATTTGCTAATTGCAGTTTAGCATACGATTATGTTAGAATATTGTTCGAGCCATTCTCAAAAGCATGTCACAATTAAGAGAAACTTCTGGAGGCTGAAGGCCTGGGCTTGAACACTTCTTCCACCTTTTACTTGCTGTATGACCTTAGGCAATTAAACTAATCACTCTACATTTCAAGTGCCTCATTGGTAAGATAAAGAATATAATAATAGTGATTTTTAATCTTTTAAACAAGGAGTCCAATGAGTTAACACCTATAAAGGACTTAACCTGGCATGTATAAAGCATGTAGCAAGTGTCAAACTTCTGATTTGTGCCTGACCACATAAGCTCAAAAATTAACCCATGGAAGTTATTACAGCGATTATGGAAAGTTTAATATAGCTTAATGTAGACTCTAGTGAGAATTTCATAGGCAGAAGCATTTCCTTCCTTTCTGCCCTGCACACACTAGGGTCATGCATGATACACCGGACTTAAGTTACACCTTGAGATGTCCTAGCTTTGTAATCTTAGAGCCAACATTGAAATCTAGTTCTACCACATCTGGCTGTGTGTATCAGGGCAAGTTCTGTTTTTTTGGGGGGTGTTTTGTTTTGTTGTATTTAACCTCTCAGTACTTTTGTTGTCTCTTCTGTGATTAGGGAATAATAATAGATACCTCATAAGGTATTGTAAGGATTAAATGAGATGCATCTTGTCAGCACAGTGCCTAGAATACAATAAGCTCTCCCAAAAAACGCTCTAAAAACTTTCTTGTAATTTCTACATGATACCATGATTTTGCTCTGAGGAGTGTTCAAAGAAATAAGATATGTTTTTTGGGCCACCCAGGAGCTTACAGAACAAATATAAGGCAAAATTTTATTACGAGAGATCTGACTGATTCTTCAGAGGGGTAATTCAAATGCTTAAATCAGAGAGGTTCAGGAAATTAAGTAAAAGCACCTAGCAAATAAAAAATGTAATTGCAACTAACACAATCCTTGGAAAAGCCCCTCCACATCAATTTTGGGAGGGAAGAGTAGATGGTGCAGTTAAGGGTAGAATATCACATAGAAATATAACCCATAAAGCTACTCTAAAAGAAAGAAAGTGAAAATCCACATTATTTGCCTAAAACATTTTCCATTTTCTTGGCTTAAAAAAGAGCAGGAGCCTATTTTTCTAACACGATAAATTGTTCTGTCTTTGTTTGAGTTCTAGGGCTCCTCACTGGTTCTGGCCGATTCCAAGGTCTTGGGAGGGGCCTTAGCAATTGTTTATATGGTCACATGCTTAAGTACAACTTTTATAAATAAAATATTTCAACCTCAATCAGTTTATTTCCACTCAGACTTCCCCTGTCACATTTCCTCTTGAGCAGGATGGTATTTGAGTGGCTACAGCACTTTTGAGATCTTGCCAAAGGGAAGTTGAGAGAGGATACATTTAATTTGTGTTTAGCGAGAGATTTTTAAGTCAGTTCAGTGTATAGTTAAGTGATTGCTGGCTGTTCTAGTCTGGGAATGGCTTCTAGGAATCCTCCTGCCCTCACTGTGCTGAGGTACACTGCTCCCTTTCATGACCCGAGTGTGGGATCATGATATGAAAATGTCCTGTTGTGCCTACCAGTTACATGATCTTTATGAGTATTGGAATAAAAACAGATTTCTTTTCTTCCCCTTAACTAGTTTTGCTCAAAGATAGATGAGATTCAGATATAGGTCATCTGAAATTTAAAATTCTTATTCAATCCTATTCAAAATAAATGGAAGTATTTGCAGAAAATAAAGTAGGATGACTTTCTAGTTTCTAGTTTCACATTTTAAATCAGATTTGCCATTTTGGAAAAGCACTTTGCATTTAGAGATTTTCATATAATGAGCATCTAAATTGCAACATTTCTACTGATTTTATAATTTATGATTTTTGCATGTAAGGATTATAAAATATTTTATATTCTAAATTTATAAGCAGATAAAAGGGCATTATTATATTTTCTTTCATGGGCTGGTAGTAATTTCCATTTAGTCAAAACTTTACAATAGCCATGAGTGCTTAGGAAGGGAACATAATAGGATGGGTGGAAAAACAGCTGATGTGTTGATTTGTCATGTTTCATTCTTACACCTGTTGAAATGGCTTATTCTGCTTTTGTCTTTAGCAGAGACATTCCTGTGTCTATAACCATGTTACTTTTCATAGATGTGTTTCCATCGGTATTGTGGTGAACTCTGGAGCATATGTCCCATTAGATTCTCTAAGAATAGTAGTGGAATATTTTTATGCCCAGTTATTTTCATAACACATGTCTTAAATCAGCATATCTATGTTATTTGTTCATTGTTTTCTATATTAAATGAGGGGCTATCATTATTATTCCAATTTATTAAGGTAAGCAGATATAAATTACTTATCAGGATGTAGTTTAAAAGCTTTAGATTATTGAAGCACAGATGCTAGAAGTCAGGGTGAAGAAAAAGTAAAGAGAATATAGCGTAATGACATAAGAGCCCTAAGGGGATCTTCTGGAGTTAATATCCATAATCTTATGGAAGGCACAAAATACGGGCACAGAAAAAATAGACAAGCATAAAAGATATTGACTTGGATGAAGATAAGAAAGTGGTATTCAAAGTGAGAGAGAGAGCGAGAGAGATATATTAAAGCAGAACTCTGTTTCCTGAGTGACTTAGTTATCCACACTAAATTTTTGAAGTTTTATAGCTCCCTTTCAAAGAGAATGATTTCTCTTGGGAGAAGTTTTTAACACACAGTAAATATGTAATTACAGAAAGTAATTAACAGACGGCCCTGTGGGATGCCAAAATTGTTTTAACTCTAGGGTGATCTAGGTTGAACATCAGCTGGTTTTAGTGTGTGATCAGCCTCCTTAGAATGATAAAGCAGCTTACAGTACTATCTCAGGAGTTGTGAGGATTACTGTTAGAAAAGGAAACACAGGAAGGAGAAACCAAAAAGATGAAAATGGTTATTATGGTATAATATGTATTTGGAAAGTACTAGTATGGACAGTGATAAAGAGGAGACACTTAAAAAAATTAGCATTTGTTATAAACAATTCTTTCCTTTGAGCTGAAAATGTTCAAAAAACTTTGTTTTTGGACCATCGCAAAATTCAAAAAAACTGCATAAGAAAATGAGCTGAGAAAAACACTCAGATATTCTTTAACTGAATGTGTTCCACAATAATTCCACCATAATTCTATTTTTCTAAAACTAAGTCCACTAACATTGATGCGCTTGTTAAATTAATAAATCACAACTCTAGAAATACAAATTAATATATTAGGCATATATTCTCTGCAGTAGAACATATTCTTGTACATTGAAAATAATCTATGACTTATAAAATCAAAGATCCTTCAGTAATGCTTCTTAATATTAAATATTAAACAGTTTTCAATATGCCATTTTACTTTTTTAGGTGAATCTTTTTTTTCTATTAAATATTGTACGTGTTCTCATTACCAAGTTAAAAGTTACTCACCAAGCAGAATCCAATCTCTACATGAAAGCTGTGAGAGCTACACTTATCCTGGTGCCATTACTTGGCATTGAATTTGTGCTGATTCCGTGGCGACCTGAAGGAAGGATTGCAGAGGAGATATATGACTACATTATGCACATCCTTATGCACTATCAGGTATGGTGTTCTTGAATCAGGAAGGCACCTTGTGAAGTTTGGTATTAAATTGCATATAGCTTTGGTTTAGTTTGACTATGTATGTAGCAAGTTGGTTACAAATAATGTATCTTTTCCATTTGGAATCAGAAAATTCTGTTTTTCTTTTACAGGGTCTTTTGGTTTCTACAATTTTCTGTTTCTTTAATGGAGAGGTATGGTGATTATTTTTATTCCTTTTATCGTTTTATATTTGCAATACATCTTTTTCTTAAAAATAAAGACACTTATACATTCCCTAGGAACAACTACTTCAAATTCCATTTTGATCAGGAAAAAAACGAATCTCTTTTCATGGATGCAACTCTTCTTCCCAAAAGCTTGGGTCATACTGGAGTTCAAGAGTAGGGCAAATCCAGCCTCACTTTAAAATAGTCCATCAGTGACTTTTAGTCATGTAGCCTTTGACCTACCTTTTGCACTAATCCTAGTAAGTCTGGCCTTTGTCGTAGGTACAATGCTAGGCAATCCTTAACCTCATAAAACATACACTCTAATAGGAAATAGAATTGACTCATTTTCATTTTCCCCCTTTCTCTGTTTTTTGTTTTGCCTGGCTCACAATGTGGTTTGGAAAACAGTTTTATGGTGGTTACAAAAAGATTTTAAAGAATTAAACTCTCAGTTATACAGGGAGGGCATGCAGTAAGTTAGAAAACTGAGGAGAACAGAATGCTGTAATTTGTAACATGGCAATGTGCTCTTGGATATTTCAAGATTTTTATCCAAGGCTTTCCGAATAAGAAAGCTTCAGGTGTTTTAGAAACTGGTACCAAGGTTCTTATGCATATGAATAGTGTTATAGCTCAGTGGTTTGAGCTATACTGATTTAGCTCTTTATCTGTTTTTAATCTATTTGACAAATTTTAACCTTTTGGAGGATTTTGTAAAATTCAGCAAAGTTTAGAAATCCAGACAGCAACTGAGTGAGACTCAAATACTTGGTAACTGTGAAGCTTATCGCAAAGCTTCAGATGGGAAACATACGGACCAGTAGGTGTAACATTATGAGAACTATTCCTAAAAAATAAATCAACATTGGAAATCATGTACATGTCATGAAAAACTATAAAATATTGCTCTCCTTTGCTTAATAATCGTTTACTTCTTTCTCTTAGCACATGATGAAATTTCATGTTTGATTTTATTAAATTGATTTTTTAAAATTTTTATTTCATTTATTTATTATTTATAATGGAGTGTAGAACTGTCATATATAGTAGGCTATATTTCGTATCTTTAAGTGGTGCTTCCATGATTTTTCTGTTATACAGTGGACGACAGTGACTTTTTCTGAAGTCATTGAGAAGTACAGATGTAAAATGCAATGAGGAAGAATAGATAAATCATTTGTTTTGATAATAAAATTCAAATAGCATTTATTATGTACCTCTATAAATTTATGATTGCATGAGCTGAATTAGACAATCCTATTTGCTGCCTATATAGGATTTTACAATTAAAATAGATGAGAGAGAAATGGACAACATGCCAAAGAACAGGCATACAATATGAACAATATACCTCTCCACTTGCAGAAACAGATTTCATTTTAATAAAGGGTAATTTCTAAATGTATTAATCATAATCACTAGTAAAATATTTTGTGATAGGAAGCAATGTAGAATAAAAGCACAGATACAGCAATGTGTTTTTACCCCAAAGATGCCACTTTGTTCCTGGCTGTAATACTTCGGGCAATATCCTGAGCCTCCTAGAGTCTCAGTGTCTACTTTTATTAAAAGGAAATAAAGTTCCTTACACAAGTCTCACAAAGATTAGTGTAAGCTAGGAATCTAAAGCTTTTAGCACCATGCCCCACCCTTAGTAGATTATCAGTACATTACAGATTCCTTACTAGATCTCTCAACTCGTTCATTTTCAAAAATACATGCACAAATGGGAGCATTAGTCATACTGGAGTCAATCTCAAATTGGACTTTTTATTTGGAAAGGTTGTCCAGGGAATATCTAAACTAATGCCTAATACTCTGATTGCACTCTCTGTGTAACCAAAAGAGACCCAGACCTTGATCTTCTGCCATGTCCTAAAATTGAGAAAATTTGGGCAGTAAAAAATTACAATAATACAAAATCTTTTGAGCCTAGTTGCTGCCAAATCCTTTGGTTCTTTACAACATCTCCAATGTGTCCCCTTTTCTTCATCTCTCAAGATACAATCCCTATTTGTGGATGACTCATTTCTCATCTTAAGAAATACTATAATCCCTCCTTTTTTGTCTCTTTGCCTCTTAGTTTTTCCCACTCTCATAACATGAAGGCACAACTGCCAGATTCATTTTGTGTGGTTCCAACTATGTCATGTAGTTCTTAAAATCATTTTCTCGGGCTTACGTTCCCTTCTTGCTTTCCACAGGAGGTCAAGTAGCTTCCCTTTAGCGTAGTCTCTACTTTTTTTTTTTTTTTACTCTCACACTTTTTTTATTTTTTAAGCCAAAATATTCCTACTTGCATTTCTCACTAGTTAAATAATTGTGGCATGACAAGTGCTCAGGACACATTCATCTCATCTCTAGCCCACTCAGCCAAATATGGACTGTTAGCATAAACTAGAGATCTAGTTATTAGGAGTGCCCTCCCTAGCCTCAGGGGTAAATCTAACAACACCTGAGAGAGATACTTTTATAAAGTGAACAAAAAGATTTATTGAGAATAACCAAACCTATATTTTATAATGAGAACTAGGTAGCATTTTTATATGAAGCTCTATTAACTATTTTTTAACTAATTTAGGTTAAGGAATATAGAATTGATTCCTTATCAAGTGCTAATGGGCATATAAAGTTGTAATGTTACATTGTAAAAACAGTTGGCCTTACTATTTGTATAACATTTACATTTTCATATCTTTAATAACATCAGGCTATCTTCCCTTCCAATTGCAATTTTCCTTGTTATCTTTCCCCATTACAGTTTTCTCATTAAAGGTGTATTAAGAGTGGCCACTTTAATGTTCTGTTGAACAGTATGATATTGTATTAGAGGAAGCAGATGAAAAACAAATCCTTATAGAGAATAATATAAACAAACAGATGCCTACAAGGCCAATGGGTCTTTAATTAGGTTCATTTTTAACTTCAGTAAGTCCCCATAGTTCAGGAAATTGAACTTCCATGGTTTTTCTGATGATTTGGTTGTAAGGAAGAAATAGGGTGATGATTGTAATCAAAGCAGATATTTCAAGAGCAGTCAGATATTTCAAAAGTCATTTTGACGGTTGGAATTGAATTTAAGCTTTCATTTTCAAGAACATAATTATTACATTCACAGCTAAGATACTTCTTCTTGTCAGCTGCTTCCCAACATTTATGTAGAATCTTTTGTATAAAGTTACATTCTATTTTCTTTCAAACAGAAACTATATAGTAAATGTATTCAGTCAGTCCATCATTTAGTAACAAAGTGAAGAGAAATGAATTTAGCAGAAAATCAGGATCAAAAACAATTCCCATCAGAAATATCTAGATAATTGGCCAAAAGTCATTTTTGTTGTAAATCTTTGAATATTTATTTAAAAAGCACACTCTAAAGCCATTCCATTTGTTATTTGCTTATGCTCATGAAGATATTACATATGCAGACATTATTTTAAATTACTTTAATTTAAACATGCTATTTGGAGAATTAAGAAAGACATTACTAAATCATGAGGGAAGCAGTAGTATATACTTTTTTGCAAGATAAATGTATTTGTTGTCCTATAAATGCTTTTATTTCAAAGAAAATTTACAAGAATATAAATTATTCCCTTCAGATACAGTTTATATATATGTGTGTGTGTATATATATAAACTTGAAAGTCCTGAAGTTCTGAATTTCATAAAAATACATTTAAAACACATTTATTGCATTTCTTTTTTTTTTTAAAGATTTTATTTATTTATTTGAGAGAGAGAACGAGAGAGAGCATGAGAGGGAAGAGGGTCAGAGGGAGAA